ACATTTCTGTCCGAAATTCTCAGCTTCAAGCCTTTTACACAATATGTGCCTGTTTTGCTAGACTCAAAAGAGATTTATTTGTTTTTATAGTTTTCTGAATCCCAAACCAGCCCTCGTTCTTTTCCCTTTTGGCTGTTACAGCCCGATAGAACTCAAATAACTAAATTCTGTAACAAAGAAACCAAAAAAAAAACAAAAAAAGGAAGTACATTTTGAATTTAAACCACCCACCACAGTTAAAAGCACAAGGTGTTTGCTGAGAATTTCTGACACATATCTGTCCTGAGCCCGGGTTCTTTGTGAATATTGTTAATAGAATATTTTGTAATATTTGACCATCGTTTGGCAGAACCAGTGAAGCTGTCTTCTTGTTCTCCCTCTCTCTCTCAGTCTGTCTTCTCTCTCTCTCTTTCTCTCTCTCTCTCTCTCTCTCTCTCTCTCTCTCTCTCGTTGTTGTCCCGTTGTATCCCTACCTCCTGTGTGAACAGTATGCTTTCAGTAGTCTTTATAGCTGTCAACGTTTTTTCTCCCCCCAAACTCAGTGGGTATTTTTTTCAGAGTTGTTGAGTATGTGTACTGTATGTGGTTAGGAAATGTGGTGTTTGTACTTTTTGTCCTCCTCGGTGTTTCAAAGGATTTTCTTTACTTTATCTTCTGGAGAACTTATAGCAGGGAAGTTTGTTGTAACGGTGACTGCAGAGACATGGAGGACACAGGGTGAGCTCTGTCACCAAAAACATGTGCAATTCTGTCCGTTCTCTCAACTCACAGCCCCAACATGCAACATTAATATTACTTATCATCAAATCTCATCAAAGTTGACCTTTGTAACTATGGACAGTGACCTTTTAGCTGTGCTAACCTTCAAACGAATGCTTCTCTGTTGGCCTTTTTCATCTTGAATGTCGGTCTAACAGCTATACAGACAGTTAGGTCTATTATTTAGGTGGATGAAACCACTGCTGGGGTTTCACCAAAGCAGGGCAGAGCAGCTTCAGTCACAACAGAATACTTATGCTCCGCATAGATGAAATAAAATGTTGATCAAGAGCACACAGACAGGGCTAGAGATGCACCAATATATAGCGTACTGTCCATGTCAGCCAAGAGCATATTTCAAAAGCAATACAGGAATTGGTTTAATACTATGTCTGCCCATATGTAGCTGATGTGAAACTGTTTTTTTCCTGTTGAAGTAGACTGTATTTAAACAACTGTTAAACTAGCAGCAAAATGTATCATGGTCTTTTAGAAAAGTATTTAATTACCTTAAGATGGAGACAACTGAAAAGCTTAACCAGTTTTACACATGTATATGTACTAAGACTTACAAAAAAACCCACATATCATTATCATCATCATATCAGCCAATAAGGGTGAAAATATAAAGCATAACTGGTACTATATCAGTGCATCACGACACAAGACCCTAAGGTCCTTTAGGCTCCTCTGTTGTGCATCAGTTCTCTCTGAGGTTAGTACTGACCCAAAGAAAGCCAAAAATATTCTAGAGTTGGAACAGGATGTGATTTACCGCTGATATTCCTTGCAGTGATTTAGTACTATTGTGGGTAATTTAATACTGTACACAGTGACAACAGCTGCTGCCTAGATCCATTAGTGTTTAGCCAAACTGTGTGCAAATTTACCTGGAGTATGAAAAGAAAGACACGCACAGACAAGCAGAGCTTTTTCAGTGTAATTTCTAAAAATGGGGTTGAAGACATTGACTTCATATCCACAGCATCAAGTCCGACATTTAGAGAATCTGTTGAAAACTACAACAAGGGTATGACATAGGTAATGGCAGAAAGTGAGGTTCCCTGTATTTTTTGTTGCTAGGACAGTGATTAAACGTGTTTTATTTACTGCTTCCCTGTTTCAGGATAGGGTTTTTTTGTGCCAGCTGCACTTTCTAATGACACAGTTTGAATTATTATGTAAGCATATTTCCGCTCCAAGTGTCAAAGGATTGCATTTTTATTCACAAACAACAAAAACAGAAGTCTGTGATTGTGTTGGTCTCTCTTTCTCTGTTATGTACTCTCCTTTTGATTGTCTTTTTTCCGGGCTCAGTCAGTTTCCCTCTCACTCTTTGCTTTACCCTTCTATGCCACCTGTCGTTGTTGAGACTACTGCTGTGCGTATCTTGTCAGGTGTTAGATATTATTTATGACCTTGTCTTGTGTCCCAACTGTGAAACGCCTGATAAAACATCTATATCTGCCACAAATACAAAATCTGTTGGGTCGCTTCTTCGCCTGCCTCTAAATCACTCTGTGTGTAATTGCGTAAACACAAGGTAGTGGCTTGTGCGTATTTAGCATTTCCCAAAATGTTCAAGTATTGAACCTTCAAGCCCTCCGTTTTAGGGGACACTCCGGGATGGAGAAGAGGATCTTCCTGAGTTCAGAGCGAAACTGTCTGGTAACTAAAGTATAAATGAGGGGATCCACTGCAGCCTGCATACAGGTCAGCACCATCGCTGATGTCTCCAGCTCCATCAGCAACTGTGGGGAAAACAGGACAGAGCATAGGACAGTGCAATTACACCGAATACCATTCCACAATGTTTCTGCAGGACAGCTTACAGTGTGATCTATGATCTCTTAATTTCTTTTTTATTAATGATAAATATGTTGGTTATTCCTTTTGTTAATGATTTGATAAATCAATTAAACGTCTAAATGGCATGACAAAGCAAAAAATGCTGAACATAATTTCCCACATACTAATGTGACAACTTCATGTTGCTTGTTGAGATTCAGTTTCCAAATGTTCACAACAGAGTAAAGCAACAAATCTTTACATTGACAAAGTAATGATAAATTACTTAATTGATTGTCAAAATTGTTGATGATTAATCAGCTAAGCCAGTGCAATGCATTATTGCACTTTGCACCAAATGACCAGAATAACAGAAATAGCTGTGTATTGCACTGCAGTAGCCATGTAAAAAAATACCTTACTTAAAATTCTGGTTTCTGTGGTACCATTTTGAAGCTGTAGTTTAGTTGTAGACTGAATTATCTGCTTTCGAATATTTTGTACATCAGAACATACACCTCACAAGGAATGTCATATTAGGTAACACTGTACAGGGTTTCTGTTTTTCATATACTTTAATTTATTTTACGGACAATTACAGTAATAGCCTTGAATGGAGAGAAAATAACGCCACACTCACTTTGCCCCTGTCCTGCCAGGCGAGGGCGTTCATTATCAAAATAACCACCAAGGGCACCCAGAAAAGCGTGAACGCAATGATTATGTACCCAAAACGCTGGGCCACTTTCCCCTCCATCTGTTTCTTCCCCCGCTCCCTGGCTCCAGGTATCAGAAGACACACCGCCCCCACAGTCTCCGGAGGTACTCCCGGGGCGCCTCCTGTGGACGAGCCCGCGCGGGGAGCACCGGCTTCGGCCACCATGAGCACCGTTCGGCCGGAGCCTTCAGGAAGCAGAGACTTGAGGGAGCCCCGTGGAGCTGTCCGTGGTGCTGAAGCAGGAACACTCAACCAGCCCCAGACGTGTTCCGACACCGTCGGCCTCAGCTGGACTCCCCTACTGAACACTTTCTTTCGGTGCTGCCTTACAACTTTGAATATCCTCAAATAGTGGATTACGATCACAGTCAGACACAACCCCCACACCGGCACCAGCACGCAGGGTCCAAATGGATCCCAATATCGACTGTCGCCGGCGCCATGCCCCTCGATGTGCAGACGGCAGAGCATGTAAAAAAGCACTTTTTTGGAGAGAGTCAGAGAGATTATAGCCAGGACGAGGCCGCATGCCCAGATGGACAGGATCCAGAGACGAACCCTGGCTCTCCTTCTCTCGGTTTGGAAAGGGAACGCGATGGCTCGGAAGCGCTCCACGCTGATGCTGACCAGCGTGAGCAGCTGGACGCAGCTGCACAGGGCGTAGGTGAACTGCTGCAGGGTGCACGCAGGCACGGCCACCTGGCTGCCCTTCCCGTACCGCAGGAAAGAGAAGAGCAGCAGCGGGGTGTCCACGGAACACTTCAGGAGGTCACTGGCGGCCAAACTGACCAGTAGCGCGTTGTTGCAGGTCTGCAGGCTCTTGGTCCTGAAAACAACCCAGCAAACCCACAAGTTCCCGGGTAAACCCAAGACTAGCGTTAAAGTCAGGACGGTGCAATTGAATATCAAAAACATGGTCACCATGTGAGCCTCATAATCCGAGGTTGTTCCATTCCAGAAGGTGTGCAGGTAATGTCACCTTCCTCTTATGAAGCATGTGAAACGTTTTAGGTTCATCCTACACCAGTCTGTCTCCTGGTTATAGTCCACATGAGTGTGCTTGAGCCCTGAGTGAGCATGACTGTCCCACTCACCTTCCACCACATGATGATTTAAATTGGTAACATAAAGCTACAGATGGTCAAAATTAGCTGAAGTGGGCCCCTGGTTTCAATAATTTTCTTCAAGGGTGTTTGCCCCTTTGTGTTGCCCAGCACTGATTGGGGGAATGGTAGGTAGCTGGTTGATTAGCCTATAATCAGGAGCATGTGGAGATGTCTGACCTTGCTGAAAAGCTTACAGAAAAATAAATTGCAGTTTGGCTGCTCCTCCTCCTCCTTCACCTTCCTCTGTAAATATCAGGTCAGATTAATGGCTAATAATGGGGGTGCCCTTTGTACCATATAGGAAAATATTAATTCCACACATCCAAGGTGGGTTAAAAAAAAAAGAAAAATGTCAAGGGCACCTGGACTTGCTCGAAGATGTTTCGCCTCTCATCCAAGAGGCTTCTTCAGAACTGAAGAATCAACACCAGTGGCCCTTGAATTTAGCCCACCATGGATAACTATGACTGAGAAACACTGCAGATATATTTCCACACAATGCATTAATATAAAAGTAAGAAACAAATACAAGATAGTTTCATAGCATGTGAATGTGTAGAGGCAGAACAGAAAAAAAGGTTTTGAAATACAAAGCATGCTGGTGATGTTTTAGAAAGGTAATTGGGACATGCAGTATATGGTATGAATTTATTGAAAAATACACACACTCACATTTAAGTGCAATGTGTCTGACCACAAGGTTCAGATGACATTCAGACACTCAGACAATAGTATCATCCGACATCCTGATTTTAACAGTATTGACAAAGTCAGTATTTCAGCAGTTCTTCCATGTAGACCGCATTCATGCGATACGCTGCCATCCAGTTGTGGGCTACGCTGTAGTAACTTTGGTAACCTTGCTCTTGAAAAGGAGGCATGGAGGCGTAGTAATCACTCCAGGCTCTGTAGCTGGCTCTCCAGTAAGTTTCCGCACTCCCCTCCTCTTCATCGTCATCATAATAGTCATCGTCTTGTTCCCTTTCATCCCTCTCCCGCTTTTGTTCTCCATTCATCGCCTCTGTAATCTCTTTGCTCTGTTTCCCAATCTCTTCTTTAAAGTCTCTCGAGTCATTTCTGCCACACTGTGCTGGAGCTGTCTGATAGGGTCGCCTGCTTGATTTAACGGCGGGTACCGAGTCGTTGTTCTCGGGCTGAGACAAAGCTCTCCTGTTTGACACACAGGTTGTCTGGGGATATATGTGAGGTGCAGAGGAAGTGCAAGCTTGGGACCCGGTTGTCTCTGCCTTTGGTTTGGACACAGTGGGTATTTGTCTAGCTTCAGTCTGAGGCTTAGTGGTTGCTCGGTATTCACCATCATCCTTGTCAGAGCTTGAAGAACCAGAAAATGACCTTGGATGTGAAAATTCAGACTTCCAGCGTTTTACATTTTGTTTTGAACTTTGAGCTCCGTCACCATAAAGTGTGATGGACTCTCTACGCACAGTCTGATCATCGGGGTCGCCGTCCTCTCGGCCTCTGAACTCCCTGATGATCTCCACTGATCTCCCCAACCCTGTAGTAATGAAACTCTTAAAGTCCCGCTCAGCCTCCTCAAAGGTCATGAACCTTGACCCACAACTCTTGAACGAGCTGAGAGGAGAGATCTTTGGCAGAGCGTCTTGCAGCTCTTTTCGGGTCGGCTCCGCCACAGGAGGACACAGGAGGACTGGAAGAGTTTCCTTTGCAGTAGACACTTTTCTGGGATTCCCCTCATTGTGCTCTTTCATTCTGGGTGCTGGATGAGTCTTCTCTGGCTGCAGCTTCTCTGGCTTTCTATGGCCGCTTTGCTCTAGAGCTTGATCCGTGACTGACTTGGCACGCCTCTTCTTCTCCGTCCTAGAGGAGAGAAGGGATAAGGGGCCTGGAGTGGAAGCCTCGGTGCAGATCTCCCAGTCACACGGCTCGTCCATCAACCCCGGCTCGATGGTGGCTAAAAGGACAGAAGACACATGAGACTAGAGTTAGATTTCCATTTTAACATTAAATTAACAGCTTTGTTTTAAAAAAAGAAAAAATGTTAAACTCCTCAGACTTGTGGGCGGGACTCACATGGCAACGCAGACAAACTCAGGCCGCACTTTTGAGCGATAGCCATCATCTTGTTCTCCTCCTCACCATGGCAACAGTAGGTCACAGCCAACCCCTGAGTGCCTATAAACAAAATATAATCATGATAAGAACCATAACAGGAAAAAAACAACAGGGGGGGGGGGGGATAATAGAGGGTGTGCGAGTTGTGCGTCCAGGGATGGCAGTTGCTTGCCTACCCACACAAAGATTGAATTACCTTCTGACAACACACAAATTAAGTCAAGATCATTACAATCAAATGCAGATGATTAGGAACCTATTGACCTTGCTGGGTGGGTCAAACCTGCTTATACTCGACATGAGCTAATCTTCACAAATGGTGTTAATACAGTCAGAACGAAGCAGGCAATGCTTACTGCTCAAGCGAAGTCCAATTCAAAAAAACGTTTTTATACAAATAAAATAACCAGGAGAGAAACTGATTTGTGTGTGGGCTGCAACACTTATCGACAATGGGCTGTGTCTGTTGGTATATGATTTTCTTACATGACAATGTTAAGAACATTTTTTAAATGAAAAAGATCTCTGAAACATGATTTCTGAATAAAATTGAATGAATGCAGCAAAACAAAGTACTTCATGCTATTCTAGTTTGGGTTTTGAGTCAAGTTAGTGGGCAGAATTGTGCATCTGGAAACAACAGGTGGCATCCATCAACATGTGGATCAAAGACAGGATCAACCCTGCAATAATGATGCAACTCCTCTACAGCTGGGTGATCTCACAAGATGTGTATATGTCGAATATCACTGCTTGTTGTTGATTCTAATTGCTTGTTTCTGCGATAACCAAACGGCATCAGAGACTAACCGAAGCGGCCGGCCCGTCCGATTCGGTGCATGTATGTCTCCCAGTCCTGTGGCATGTCCAGGTTTATCACCAAGTTTACTTTGTCTGCATCTATACCTCTGGAAGTCTGACAGGAAGGAAAAGGTGGAGAGAAAACAACCAAGATTAAAAGAAACAGAAGCTGACCATAGTCTAGTGTAACACTCGTAAGAGATACATTAAGACAGTAACGCAAATGATGAGTGTCTCACCAGGTCAGTGGAGATGAGCACCCTGCATTGGTACTGCTTTAATTTTGACATCGCCTCCAGTCTCTGGTCCTGACTCAGACCACCTGTGCGGGTCAGCACACAAAGTCACAGTAAATCAGAACACATCAATCATTTTGAGACCAGAATGTAATACAATTTAACCATCAAATGTTTGATATTTTACATTTTTAAATGACATTGCATTTTATCATTTCATGACTACACTCTCACAAATATCCCCGCTTTTCCAAAAGGCCCTCTCACCTGAGATACAAACTGCAGGCAAGCCTTTGGAGGACAGGATGTCCGCCAGGTGCTGAGCCCTGTGGGAGCATTTAAAGATCATGCAAAGCGCAAACCCACAAGTGAGATATATTTTACTTGGTTGATAATAAAAGATCATAAAGAGCACCTATGGAGACATGGCTAAACGTTAAAACAATGCATTACCTTGTGTGTAGGTTGGAGAACACCAGGGCCTGGTTGAATGGGATTTTACTGAAAAGCTCCAGCAAGTGCTGCACCTTCTCCTCATAAACCTTGTGAGGTAAAGGGTGGGACTGCACCAGCTTGTAATACTGCTTCAGACCTGGCAGGTGGCACACACGGACAACATTTACATTTACTCATTTGGCAGCAGAGATCTACAACTGGCAATACATAATAAAAGCAGCAGTAAATACAAGTAACATACAAGGGAGACTATCAATTCCAGCATTAGGGACTTAAATCATAACCAGCAATCATTCAGAATGCTTTTAGTCGCTGGATCTGAATATCAGGGCTTGTTTTGTGAAACTCAGAAGAAGCCATTTTCCACTATTCACTTTGTATACAATGAAAAAAAACAGATACAAACTTCAAAGTAAACACAAGGTTTAAGACTGTTTTCAGAGCAGGCCTTATTTTGCTCTTAGCTTACTGTCAACCACTTCTCAAACTTGGGAAGAAATAACATTTTCTGCCAGGACATAACACCTTAAAACATATCACGTAGTATTATCCCATCAGTGTTGTCTTATTAATAGTTGACACTGTACGATTTCAATATGTAAACTAGACATAGCTGACAAGTCATTTGCCTGATATAAAAATGATGCTTTAACCTTTTACATGCCAAGCATTTTTGTGGTAACAATGATAGAACACCTAACCAGGGTCTCACCTTTAAGGCCCATGTCACTAGGATTGAGTCTGACAAAAGTGGGCTCTCTCATGTAGCGGGTAAGGTGCTGAGCAAGGGATTCTGGGTAGGTGGCAGAGAGTGCGAGCATCTGTTTGTTCACAGGCAAAGAGGCAAAGATCCAGCTGAAGACACAAGGTGAATTTCAGCGAGTGTGTTTTTTCATAAATGAGCATACAATTTATGATTTTTCATTTTACACAGATTTGTTAAGATGGGCTAAGTACTCTGATTGAATGACATCGCCAGCCTGCTGACGTGTCATGTAACTAATTAAATATGGGGTATGATTATAGAGGCTTCCGTCCAGCTTACTTTATCTGTTCCTGGAAGCTGCCCTCCTCCAGCAGCTTGTCTGCCTCATCCAGTACAAACAGTCTGATGCTGGCGGTGGACAACATCCCAAGCTCGATAAGCTGCTTGATACGACCTGCGTACGCAACCAGCAGCATAGTTACAAAACACAAAGAGCATCATGGTGGTTACATGAAAAATGAATGAATAAATAAATAGTAATGCCGCTCTCGATTGGCCTCTTACCAGGTGAGCCCACAGCTATATGGCACTTCTTCAGATGGAGTTTGTCCTGACTCACAGGCCTGCCCCCGATGAAGACATGGCACTCGAGGCCCTCCATGGCACAGCCTATGGCCATCACTACTGAGTGGATCTGGACCGCTATCTCACGTGTAGGAGCCAGGACAAGAACCTGCAGGAGGGTGAGGGGTGTGTGGGTGGGGGGGGTTAGATCACTTACACTTGATTGAAAGCAGATTAAGCATGGACAGGTGCTGAGCAGTCCCCAGTCAGTAAGACCACTGCAGCTAATAAGATTACAGGTTATCAACAAGACCAGACGTACCTCTGCGTTGTCAAGAATTGTCCTGCTTCATTTACTCTTTTGACACAAGCAGCTTAAACTCATCAGATTAAAAAGACCATCAAAATTAAAGCAATTATTTTTCATGACCATCTGTTGGTGGTAAAAAATTGACTGGTAAAATTTAAAATAAAAGTTTTGCTTTCTCTTCTGAAGACTTTTTCAAAAATTGTTATTCATTAGAAGCTAATAATAAACTATATTTTTTGGGAAAGACACATTTCTCCATATTTAATGAATCATCTTGACCTCCAGAGGAGTATATCTGCCCACCTGAGTTGCAGGATTCTCCAGGAGCAGGGAGTCCAGGGCGATGGTGCAGAACACGCACGTCTTCCCCGTGCCAGACTTGGCCTGCACAATCAAATCTGAAAACAGCAGATGGACTTGTAAAGTGTATCTTAATTATTTATGTTGAATTTATTCATTTTTAATTTTTTTGTATTATTTTAGTCTGAAAATCTTGATGCTAGAAAAGACTGTATGCAAATGACAAACATACACATTCAATGTTGAAAGGGAACAATTTGCTTATTTTTTCACAGTATTCATGTCAAACTGTGAGGTCCTTCAACTGAGGAGAAATAGTGATCCGCTGACTTTAAACAAACTGTAACGTGAGAATTGCTTCTTTTATGTGATCAATAGTCCAAAACCTAGGGCTGGGCAATAAAATAATAATCATAATTATTGCAAATAATTTTCCTCAATAACAATATAATACATGTTCAATATATCATCAATAAATATTTGCTTTAACTAATTTGAATCACAAATTAGCATATAATGTTTCTATTAAAATAGAATAAAGATTTACTAATCATATTTGTTGAATAAGATAACAGTTTTGAATGTTCTAACTCAGACTTGTGAAGTGATTCACTGTTTGGCATCAAGTGTTTGTCACATTCTGACCATAAAGAAAAGTTTAACCGCATAATTAACCATCTGGCTTCTTCAATATTCACTCAGGAGCAAAAATGCCTTTAAACTTGAAAGAAATAATGATTTGACATATATTGTTATAATTATCGAATGATATGAAATGTTTTTATCGTGATAATATTTTTGGCCATATCGCCCAACCCTACCAAAACCTAAAAGTTATTCAGTCTACTATCCAAGACGAATAAGACAACCAGCAAATAATCACATTTGGTTATCATGTAAGACAAACAGTAAGCAAATTCTCATAATTTAGGCTATAAGTAGGAAATATATTCCATTTTGCCTTTGAAAATATCTAACGATAAATCAATTATCAAAATAGTTGTCAATTATTCTGTGGATAATAGATTAATCAGCAAATCTTCTCAGCTCTGGACTGAACCATTCCAAGACTGCAGTGACAGACATCCCCTTTTTCAGCCTAAGACTACATTTTTGTAACGTTAGTTAGAAAATAAAGTTAAATTAGTAGGCTACCACTGTCAGGGTAGCTGGAAGGAACATCCAGGTGTCGCAATAGGAGTGAAAATTGGTGAGTTAATACCATCAGTACCATCACCTCACTAATGTGCACTCCTCTAGCGTTCATACAAATTCATTTTTGATGAATTGGTAATACCAGAGCAATAAAAGTAACCCTGATCTTTAACTTGCTCCACGGGACAAATGACAACAGTCAATCAGACCGGTTTCTGTTGCTAAAAAAACAGGCATCCATAAACTAACATTATCCCAGAGTTTCTAAGAAACACACACGCACACACGCTGAGTTGTGAACCCACCAAGTCCGCAGCGGCCCAGCGGGATCGCCTTGAGCTGGATGGGGGAAGGTTTCTGAAAGCCTGCGGCTGACAGTCCGTCCAGCACGGCCGGAGACAGCAGCAGGGAGCTGAAGTCGATTCCCTCCGACAGAAGCACATCATCGGTCCGCTTTCGCGTCTCTACGTCGTGAGCTGCTTTCCTCACGGAGGTAGCCATGTTGACTGGACTGTTTACCGCCGGGGATCAAACGCAGCTGCTTTAATGCGCGTTGGAGCTGCAGCTGCAGTGCCTACCGCCCTCTCGTGACCGGGAGGGGAACTGAGAATAATATCACATAGGCTGCGTTCGAAAAGGTTCCTAACTATAACAATGAAGTTTATTCCTTTTACAGCAAATTATATTCTTCTAGATTCTCAGCTGATGCAACAGAGGCCTTCTTTAACCAAATCAGAGGTTTTATTCCCCAAATAAATAAGGACTTCCAAATCACATGTGAGTCAGAGATCACGTATAATGAGCTTGAAAAGGCATTGCAATGTTTGACTTCGGACCGCTCCCCTGGCCCAGATGGCCTCACAGCCAACTTTTATAAACATTTCTGGGAGCATATCAAAGTACTTTTATTTGAAACACTTAAAGATTACGGATTACGGATTACAACTGAACCTGAAAAAGTGTGAGCTGTTATCTATACATGACTGCCACCTTGAGACAGCATATGGTATCCCTATTAAAACTGCAGTGAAATACTTGGGCATACATATAACCAAAAATATTAAGTTAAGTGAATCATTAAATGTATGGAACAAATTGGATGAATGTAAAGCAAGACTAGACAGATGGTTAAATAGAGATCTTTCTCTGTTTGGTCGCATTTATATTACCAAAATGGAAAGCCTTTCAAGATGCATTTACCCAGCCTACTCTCTGTCCATCCCCAGCAAAGCTGTCAAAACCATCAATACATTAAACTTTGACTACATCTGGAAAAGAAAACCCCATTATCTGAAAAAAGCGACTGTAGAGAAAGACTATGAAGATGGTGGGCTACAAGCTATAGACTTTGATTGTATAAATGGAACCTTAAAGATTAAATGGTTATGATGCCTTCTAGCAAACAGTGGAAGTTTCTGGTATTGTGTGTCCAGGGAATTGTTTAAAAAAATTGGAGGTATTGATTTACTTTTGCGCTGTGATTTTGATGTTCCAAAACTTTCTATAAAACTGTCTGCGTTTCATTCACAAGTTCTGTTATATTGGAAACTCCTGTACAAACACAATTTTACTCCCCATAAAATACCCGTCTGGAACTGTAGATTCATTCTCTTTAGAAATAAGTCCCTGTATCTCAACGAATGGATGGAAAACAATATTTGGTCTGTCACACATTTACTGCACAACTATGGAAATGTTTTATCTTTTGAAGATTTTGGTACAAAACTTAATTTTCAGTGCAGTCGTAAACAGTATGATATGGTTATCCAAAGCATCCCATCTGCCTTCCTTTTGATGGCAAAAAATGCACTACCTCATATGTTTAACCCCCCTCTTCTTCCTTCATTGATGAATGCTGGTCAACACTTCTGTAGTAAGACGTTGCAAAACAAAGTGTTCCGTGATCTCTTCACTCTGACTTTATACCCAGTGCAACACAGCCGAAATGCTGCCTCTCTTATTTTCAGTCATTCTTCTCTGAAGAAACTACGCACAGACTTCTTAAAGTTACCTTTATCACCAAAAGCTAAAGAGCTTCAACACCGTTTTCAGGTTGTTGAAATAAGCCATTAAGTGTTTTCTACAATATACAAAATAACTCACCAACCATGACGGATAAAGGAGGATTCATGTTGACAAAAACGCCTATGGGTGGGAAGGAGGGTGAGTATGAGCAAGCATTCTCAATGTGACAACCCTGTCCATTATTTAGTGACTGGTAGGCTACCTTATCTGCCTTTTTGCTATATCTTGGTTATTAAGTAATATATTCCACCGTGTTGTCCACCTTTAGATGGCCTGCATTACAACAACATGGGGCGCAGTCTCAAAGATGCGCTTTTTGTAGTCCATCTTCGGAATATTGTAGTTTACTCACGGCAATCCACATCAGTAAAATCTGCCGTCGCATAATTACGTCGCTTAGAAAAGAGCAGTCAAAATGTAAACCATAATAGTTAAAGAGAGGATGGAGGACAAGCTGTGGTCTGTAGGTGCATGTTTTTCTTGATAAACTTGATTAACAATTAATCAGAACAACTTTTGGGTTGTCAGGTTGTGAAAAATCCTCCTGGGTGATGTTTATCCTTGCTATTTGGTAAAAATGCATAAAAATCTTGGTGATACATTCATAAATACATTTTCTAATAAGCAATTGAGACTGCAGTAATACATTATATTAAACTGTTAATAAACATTTTGATGCACAGATTTTTTTCCAGAAGAGATGAATTAGAAGATGTTCCTGGTGAAATAAAGAGCTGAAAAGACAAGTGTCCAGATGGAGGAATTTCTTACAACCCAAAAGTTCTTACTAAAGACTTATATAAAGTAGAACCCAAAAATGCCTATTGACATTTCCAGCAAGCTGAAAACAGTAATCTAAGATAATTTGTTGAGGCAAAGTAGTAAGACTATTGTTTTTCTAAACATATGCAATGCAAAGAAAAGATAAAGGGCATTGCATGAATCTTTCCCTGAATTGTTAATTGGCACAAAAGTTGCTGTACATATTCTGATAATTTGTTTGACAATCAAAATATATAAACGAGCTTTTGTAGCCAATGTACTCCTATGATTATAGATTGGACTATTGCATGTTGCCATTGTTGCACTTGGGACTGAATGTTTCTTATATTTGACAGACAGTAGGATGGTCATGATTAGAGATGCTGAGCCTGAACTAATGTTCAAGTTTCTGGCCTATAGTGTCCTTGAGCAACACAATCTGTCTTGAACATCTCCACTGATCTTCATCTGACCTCTTTGAGAGGGACAATAAAAGGAATCAATAAAGTACCACCATAACATTACATGTACATACATTATTGATAACATATACACCACATGTACATATTAGTTTCATGATTTGTCTGCACGCATACAGTAAGTCTGTGTCCTCACAGGGGATTTATTGGTAGACTGAAAGAAAAATAGTTGCTTACCTGTAGTAATTCCTGTTTTGTTTGTTTTCCTGACATACGTTAGCTAAACCAAAAGCAGTGCCAAACATACGAGGATACAAAAAAGTGTGATATTATCAAGCTATAATACTCCTTCTATGCCTTTAACCAGCAGACATACTGTACATTTAACTGTGATCCTAAAAACCATATTGTGTTATTAAATCCCTGCCTCATTACTCAGGAGCAGCTGTAAACTCAGCAATCATGGAAAGTGCAGTCTTACAGGATATTAGACAGAATTATTGTCTTCAAAATCCGGATCTGTGGATTTGGTTTTCAAGAATTAAATGTCATGATCTAGAGCCTCCCCTCTTATTGTGCTTATTAAGAGGGTCCCATTGCCTTCTCTTCTCTCCAGCTGCACCTGAGCAGCAAACAGGGAGCATTGTTTTATATTTTGAGAGTTTTTACCTGTGGATATTTTGGATTTTGTTGTCAGCTAAGGTTGTGGATGGATAGCTGACACTTTATTTTAACACCAGGAAGCAGTTAGAGCACTCGCCTAATCTACACTGAGAAAAAAATGGAGCACCTTGTCCAACAAGATAACTCCTCATCGTCTCACAGCTCCTTCGACACAGAGCTCCTTTCTCAGACTGGCTACACAATACTGGCCGCTATCATGGGTGTGTTCTCTGTGATGGGGATCATCCTCAATGTCCTGGTGATCGTGGTGACAGTGAAACACAGACAGCTAAGACAGCCACTCAGCTATGCCCTGGTGAACCTGGCCGTATGTGACCTGGGCTGCGCTGTGTTTGGAGGTCTGCCCACCACAGTAACCAGTGCCATGGGATACTTCAGCCTGGGACGTGTGGGCTGTGTGTTAGAGGCCTTTGCTGTGGCATTTTTTGGTAAGTCAGTTCAGAGCCAGTATATGCATGCATTTTTTTGAGTTTGCATATTAAAATGTTACTTGGTATGATTTAACTTGCAGTGTTGGAAGAAGTAGTCAGATTCTTTAAGTCGCAATGCATCAGTGTAAAAATACTCAATTAGTAAGGAAGAGAAGTAATATCTACTATGATAATACTATGTCTACATAGCAAAAGTACTCTCTCTTTTGCAGGGGAAATGGTGTATTATATATCACATTATTACATTGTTAGTGTTGATGCATCAATGCACATCAAGGTGGAGCTTGCTTTAACTATACACTTTTGTAGTTAAGTCCAGGAGGTAAAATCAGTGTCCTGTTCCACCAAATTTGTATTAGTTTTGTTTTGGACTTTTATCCAAAAAAAAATATATATATTTTTGTTTTTGGAAATTTAAATGAGACCATCTGGGAAGTAGGGAAATGTCTCTTTGGTGGAGACCTCTGAAACGTGATGAGGGGCCCCAACAATTGCTTTTTTTAAGGCGTCATAAGTTAAAAGAAAAGTCAGGAACTACTGGTTTAACAGTGTGTTGTATCTTATAAGCTAATCATATGTGTTGCACATAAAATCTTAATGAGAAACGTAATGAGTGATTAGAGCTGTCAGACAAATGCAGTAGAGTAAACAGGATTACATTTCCCGCATAAACTGGAAATAGGCCTACTCAAAAGAAGTAAATGTGCTTATTTACATTCCACCACTGAATTTGCAGTAGCTCAGAAGCATTTTCCACAAAAAATAATGTTCTCTTTATATTTTCCTTCTACTGATAGGTATAGCAGGTCTGTGCACAATTGGAATAATTTCTGTTGAACGCTATATAGTGGTGTGCTATCCCATGGGGGCTGTCCTGTTCCAGACCAGGTACAGTTGTGACCATCGACGCTTTTCACCTGGCAGCATCACTGAGTACAACAACTTGAATGCGCCACCTGCATGTGACACAATCACCTCTGCTGTCCTCAGACACGCAGTTGCTGGAGTGGTGCTGTCCTGGGTGTGGTCGTTTTTGTGGAACACTCCGCCTCTGTTTGGTTGGGGAAGTTATGAGCTGGAGGGCGTCAAGACCTCCTGTGCCCCCAACTGGCACAGCCGGGATATCGGGAACATGTCCTACATCATCATATACTTTTCCTTTTGCTTTGCTGTACCCTTCTCTATCATCATAATGTCTTACTCACGACTCTTGTGGACCCTCCACCAGGTGAGCAATGGGAATGTTGGGCACTTGGGCAGCGAAGTATTACAGTACAGTATTACAAGTATTATACACTCAATGGTGAAAAGATGACAAAGTGCACTTCAGCTGCTTGTACTGGCATCACAATCAAGTTCCTTTGCTTGTATTTTGTTGCCCTAGGTGACCAAGCTGCAGGTATCCGAGGATGGCAGCACAAATCGTGTTCAGGCGCAGGTGGCTCGTATGGTAGTGGTGATGGTGCTGGCCTTCTTAGTGACCTGGCTGCCATATGCGGCCATGTCCCTTGCTGTCATCATGGACTCCAGTCTATATATTGACCCCATCATCGGCACCATACCTGTTTACTTGGCTAAAAGCAGCACTGCCTTCAACCCCATCATATATATTTTCATGAACAGACAGGTAATCCCCCATCATGTACATTTATATACCCACAAAAGCAGCACAAAGACAAAGTAAAGGAATTCAGGCATAACCATACACTATCATTTCACTGTATTGACCGTGTGCGCTGGATGTGTGTTTTCCAGTTTCGAAGCTACGCTATTCCCGTTGTCTTGTGCGGACGGAACCCGTGGGCCTCAGAACCACAAATATCTGAGGGCAAGACCTCGGTTGTTTCTCTCAGCAAGAGCCAAAAAGTCTCACCTGAAGAATCTTTTAAACAATAAAAGTGTACATGGATCCCCATAGTCTCACTCTTGTTGCAGCTCCAGAATATCTGAACTACCCTCTGCACTGGACTGCAAGGAAATATTAATTTCACAACTTTAAGAAAACATAATACAACATATGTAGACACACATAAGATAACTAACTTACACAGATGCCAGGAGTGATTGAGGCTATACAAATTCTGTGTAGTCCCATTTCTGAAAGCACTATCACATGAGACTCTCCAACTTTTTTAATGCATTCTGACATTAAAGACAACCCCCTTTGTCTTGTTCTCTGTCATGGATATGGTTGATCAGGTATAGAAAATAGAACTGATGAAAGTTTTGGTTATAGTTATTCATTTTATTAACTGAATTATTAACCTTTTCTTCTAAAGTTCTAAATTGATAGTTTAGTATATTTCGAGACAAAATGATTAATTGGCTCAAATACATCTTCTCCTTTAAGAGGTGCATTTATCTCAAGAGAAATTCTATTATAGTAATAATCAATATAATTTTATTTTATATAAATATTGATGCCATCCATCCATCCATCATCAACCGCTTATCCTGCATACAGGGTCGCGGGGGGGGGGGGGCTGGAGCCAATCCCAGCGGACATCGGGCGCAAGGCAGGGTACACCCTGGACAGGTCGCCAGTATATTGATGCCATTTAAACTGTAATTCCCTACACAGGGTTTGCTACAATTAATGATACACATTATTGAATGATGACACGTTTATTCTGTTTATGGATATCATTTAAAACCTCTCTATGGTGCGACGAGATAACTCGGCGCTATATAAATAAACTTGACTTGAACATAGTATCAGGACAGGGATCTTCCTTTCTTTAGGTCTTTTAGACAGTGGCTGGATCACTTGGTACAGTGTAAATGATAAGAAAGACATGCACAAACACACATATGTGTAACATAAGTAAATATTTGTTCTGTGTTCATCCCAAAGCTGAGATGAAGAAATTTAAACATGCAGCAAACCGCCAAAGCCCTGTAATGTTGAACAATGGGCATGTAAATTTAGTTGATGTTGTCAACTATCACACTAGACAGCGATATATTTCAAAGGATTTATGACAAGAAAAAAAAAGTAATTACATAATATTTATTTTTTGTATTAGGTGTACACATCCCCTTTGCTTTTAAAGGTCTGTGCTCAAACATGGTCCACACCCCCTTGCACACAAGCAGACCGTTGCCACCCATTTATGACCTTTATGGCTTTCATTGATAAGAAATGAAAATAATCAGTGTGTTAAACTCCTTTGCAACAACTCACTCCAGCCTTTTGGATCCAGCATGTTACACAGCAAGAAAAAAAAAAAAACCTGTCTTCTGTTTAGTCTCACAGTTTCATCATTCACAGTCATTTCTCCCTCTCTAAATAAACACAAATGCAATCATAATCATCATCATATGACCTTGGCTTTTTATTGATTACAGAAATATTGCTATGACTTTCATTAAAGGAAAGAAACAGGAAGAGGAAAAAAAAGCCAGAGTGTGAATAGCTGTATCAAACCTGTACACGTTTGTATATACAGATCGAGGGATCGTCTATGTACATGCTACATACTGTCACACTCTGGGTAAATAAGTAGTACTTTTTGACAGGCACAGACGTGGGATCACTTCATCCCTTTCTGAATCCATTTCAGAAAAGGATGACCCGAGGTCAGTGCCTGAGGAACAGGAAACTCCAATCTCACGCCCACAGGCCCCTCTCATACAGATACAGTACATGTTGATGTGTCAACTGATTGGTGTGTGAAACAGTTGTGTGCTTGAACACCTGGTGCTCGGAGGGTTGACTTTGGTCCTGTTGTTTCTGGTAGCCTGTTGCACTAACAGCAGGAAACAGCGGCGCGTCTGAGAGCTTCAAGTCCTGCTAAACGTTAGTGCCCTGTTATACAGGCTACGGAACAGTTATAACCGTACTATACAGCTTGAAGTTGAGTCAGATTTGTCATACAAACTATCTGGTCCCAAAGCTAGCAGCACGTCACATTGTTGCTGAATACTGTATTGTCTTCATATTGTTTATGGTACAGTCACCAGAGGATCCATTACAGGTTAATGTGGTGTAAAAATCATGTAATAAGGTCATGTCCCATGCAAGATTCAAACCAAGTGGGGGTATTTCTTTTTCCAGCAGCAGCTATTTCACATACCAACTGAAAACAGTGGTGTTTAATACACAAACATGTTTAAAGAGATAACAACTAAAGACATGGTTAAGGTGGTCACTTAAACAGCAATATCATGGTCAAATTAACAGAGAATGAATGAAACATACGGCCGACAGGCTGATGCTGAGAAATGATTCTTCTTCTTCTCACACAGTTTGCACCAGCTTTGCAAAGAGTTTCAGGCCACGTTCGACGTACTCTGCTTTACTGGGGAGACATACGAGACCAGCTGTACCTCACAGCATCCACAAAACGACACTAGCAATAAGTCCTGAGCTCAAGGAATGTGCAACACGTCCCCAGCCAGTCGCCCACACTGCTCCGGTGGGAACACAGTAAAGACTGAGAACAGCATCCTGGAATTATCATTGCTACTGACAAGTACAAAGAATGATAATATATACAGATTGGGGAGGGGAGAGTAAAAATAAAATGCATGTGGAGTCGGGCAGGAGAGGTTTTGGGGTCGTGGTCTAAAGGAGGTAAAAAAATCTGGTGCAAAGAGAACATTTCAACATCGATAACTGTGCGCGAAAACAACAAATAAAGACAACTTCTGAGTCAAGGCAAAAGAGGAAGGGGGTGTCTTAGAATAAGCAGGTGAGGATTTGTACACTTCCTTTACCTCTCTGTCCTTACAGGTCGTCCTTCTTGTGTACTCAGACAGGAGCATTTTGCAGTGTTGTGTTCTTTACAGCATGTGACAAATGCAATTATTGTGTACAACTGGTTTGAGTGGGGTTTCTTTTTACTTTTAAATTGTAGTGTTGTGAAGTGTCCAATTCCACCGGTGAAGGTAAATACAGTACATCTGTCCTACGGTTAGTGAGTTGCTGTTTCTCGTTTTTTTTGGTTTTGTTACTTTTATTCTTCTTCATTCTAATATCTAGCATGTACTTCACATCCTACTCTGCTTGACTGACTGATGAGGTAACGTAAATGACAGCCACCCTGACCTCTACTGGACAATAAGGTGCTAAAGTTTATCTCTGTAAACGCCACTGATCTACACACTCTAACTTTCAAGTGAGCCATCAGTATTTGTATGTGTGTGTATTTAAGAGAGATACAGAAAGCCAGAAAAGTAGAGGAAGAGAGGAAGAGAGAGAAAGAGAGAGAGACAGATCATGTAGTAAAGGGCCACAAGGTTAGGCGAGGGTTTTAGGGTTGAGGTGCAATATTCAGAATTTGGATTCAGGCAGAGGCGTGTTATGAAAAAGCAGAGTTCTACAGCTCAGTCTCTTTATGTACAACAATAGTCCGACCAAGTCAAAGAGAAAGTGACAGGTGTCCTCTCTTGCTTTGCCTTTGAATCGTATCCACTCTCCACTCCTTCTTCCTCAGCTTACCGAGCTGTCCGGTTCAAAAACCAGCCCATGTCCTAACGCTGCCCTCTTCTGGACAGCAGCCGTAGTAGCAGCAAGGAGAGTCTCTCTCTTTTTTTTTTAAACTCTCCCAGTTTTCTTCCAGCATCATGTACTTCTCTCGTTTGAATTTTCTTTTGTCTTTAGGGTTGAGTTGAGTCTTTTTTTTAGTTAAGTATGAATTCTTCAGCCTTAGTTCTGTGTGGCTTTGTTTCCATGTGTCTGTGTGTGTGTGTGTGTGTGTGTGTGTGCAGCATGTGCGTTTTCTTCTTCAGTGTGTGTGTGTGTGTGTGTGTGTGTGTATTTATGTGGCAGGGTGTGTGTTGCTCCTTCAGTGTGTGTGTGGCAGGGTCAGTGAATGTATGTCTGACAGGACAGCTCCACGTGTCACTGTCCTCCTCACCTCAGCGCCCCCGCCAGCACTAAAACAACACACTCTGCCTCCTGCTCTTCCCCTGGGCTGAGAGAGAGAGAGAGAGAGAGAGAGAGAGAGAGAGAGAGAGAGAGAGAGAGAGAGAGAGAGAGAGAGAGAGAGAGAGAGAGAGAGAGAGAGAGAGAGAGAGAGAGAGATGTGCTCAAAAGGTTTGGATTTTATTTAGACACACAAACACACACCTGTGACACCACAAATGTCACTCCATGCCAGCAAAACAAAGCATACGTTATATGGCCAAAAGCCCTGGACAAATAGAAAGCTGCAACTAACTATTATTTTCATTATCAGGTAATGTACAGACTACTAGTTTAAAATATGAATCATTCGGTCTACGTCTGACCAACAGTCCAAAACCTCATAACCTTTAATTTTTTATAATACAATTTAAGGAAAAGCCGAAAATCCTCACTTCTGTAGATCAGCTCTAGACACAAACATTACACACATACATGATTATTGAACATCTCGTTCCAAAAGCATGTGCAATAATAAGCGGCTATAACAGCCTTCACCATTCTTGGAAGGCTTTCTACAAGATTTTGGAAACAGGTTGCAGGGATTTGCTACTATTTAGCCACATGAGAACAGGCACTGCTGCTGGGTAATAAGATCTGGCCCACAGTGGGAGTTCCAGTTCATCCAAAAAAGCGTTTGATGGGGTTGAGGTTATGGCCCATATTTATCAAACTGCTGAAAATTGGAATTGGATTTTTGGTGAAAGATAAAAGTTCACTTTTACTCCTACTCACAAACTTAAAAATAAACTCTTTTTATCAGATTTCTTTTGACTTAATTCGAGAGAGAGAGAAAGGTCTCTAACGTTGGCTTAGAGAACTGCAGTGCAGAAAGGGGAGCACACAACTTCTGAGGCATGTTTTGGAATAATTGTACAAAATATCATTGGTCATGATGAATAAATAATATGTAAGCAAAACGTTTATTTAATTTTATTAACATCATTCTTTCATTTGATGTTATGGGTGCAAATAGCAGGTGTAACGCTGGCAATGACTTTGTCTGTAATGCGCATTCATCTTCCTTAGCTGCACTTGTCACTGTGGTACTAATTTCCCCTTATTACATATTTTCCCTAATGTAACTTCTCTATTTAGTTGTCACCTAATTAATGTGTCTTATTCTACTAAATTGAGCATTAGAACATAATAAGTGTAATTCTTAAGAGTTTTGATAAATAATTGGCCCAGGGTTATGTGCAGGCTAGATGAGTAGTTCCACACCAAACTATTATGGAACCGGGTATGTGCACCCCAAACTTCACCCAAACTGAACACTATTGTCTAAATGTACACAAAAAAAGACAGATACTCTTGGCCATATAGTGTAGCAGTGGTGTTATCAGTGCCTAGACTTCTGCACAATTGGGTCATACAGAACATGTTTCTGAAGCAAAATCATACTTACCAGAAACTGTAACACACCGCAGTAAAACAAACCCATATCCATGCTGATAGGAGATTTAAAACACACAACCAACCAAACACACATTACACCAAACCCTCACTTACAGACTCAACAAAAAGGCTACATCTCTCGCTGCAGAAACCTAAACAGGACTGCAAAATGAAAAGAATCAAATGACTTGATCCCAGTTCTCTGGTCACATTCTTTTCCTTTATGAATATATTGTTTCCCCTTGCATCCCTGAAATAAACACTGGGACTGGCTCACTCTGAGAAAAAGAGGACTAGGTAAGTGAAAGCTGAGATGACGCATGTGGGTGCAGGGCTTGAAATGTGAGGGATGGCTGGCAGGAGCAAGAACACTGAGAGGAAGAAGACAAAATAGAGACAAAAAAAAAAAAAACAATAGAAAGACTGAAAGGGTGTGAGTTTAAACAGGTAAAAAATAATGTGTTGTTCTGTGTTCAGGGAATGCACAGAGGGAAGTGAAATGTACCAGCATTTAGCCCAGTTCAGCAACAAGGAGAGCCATACAGCCACACATAAAGTGGGATTGTAACAAAGAGACAGTGTAAATGGACAGAAGAAAAGAGGCCAGGTGACAGTCGAACAGTAAAAAAGAGAAGGAGGACTGAACAGAAAACAGACAGAATGAAAGAGACCGTATTTACCAGAACGGTAGGGCCACTCAGCCAGTGGAAGTGGAGGAGAGATTATGACTCTGAACCCTGGGATTGGCTGCTTCTCTCTGGAAGTACTGCGAGGGCGCGGAGCCTAGCTTATGGGCCATCGCTTTTTAGGGTCGGGGGAGAAGCGGGAAGGTTGGGAAATATTGAGGTTTTACGGAGGAGTTGGAGCAGGGCACACAAGGGAGACAGAAAGGATTAGGGAAAAGATGCAACATTGCAAAAGAAGTGAGCATGGGTACCAAGAAAGAGAAGGGACAGTTTATCAGAACATGACAGAGAGGCAGCGGAAGCAAAAAGTGTCACGCATAGACTGAGACTGTGACAGAGACAGGAACACTGAAGTAAATTGAAGCAGATATCTAAGGCACATCAGGTATGCACAGTTAATGCACAGTGGTTCAGACAAATGAGTGCACGGGCAAAGTGCGCAAAAGTATTAAAGTCCTGTGACGTGTCCGAGTGTCATTTAATTCACTGACTGGTTCCAGGATGTAAAGAGAATGCCTACCCTGCCTTTAAGTCAGTTTTAACCATTTGTGGAACCTTTTGTTGCCTAGCGCAATGTTCATGATACTGTATATGTCCAACTATCATGGATTGTTGGCAGGATAGACTTATTTCCTCATGACAGACTTGCACTTACTGTTTGGCTTTTAATACTATTACCTATTATGAGCTAAACGCTAGCATGGCAACATACTCACAATAGCAATGCTAACATACTGATTTTTAGCAGATATAATGTTCACCATAGTAGTGTAGCTGTGTGCATGCTAACATTCACTAATTAGCACTAAACACACAAAGTATGGTTGAGGATGTGTAGGCCAGTTGTTTTGCAGGTATTTGCTTATGAACCAAAGATTGGACAAAAATTGACTAAATGATGGCGCTATATGAACATTTAAGGGATCACCAAGGTCATTACAGTTCATCCTGAAGGGGACATATTTGTACCAAATTTCATGGCAATCCATCCTGTAGTTGTCAAGACATTTCACTGAAAAACACAAATGAAAATCTCATGGTATTGCTTGACGAAAAGTAAGGCGCTGTCATTAAAGTAATTAGGATTTGTCATCTGTGAACCATGAATGTCTGTATCTCATCTGTACAAAATGTCATTGCTATCCATCAAATACTTTTGAGTGGTGGACGGACCAACAGACCGACAGAGCCACGGTGCTAGCGTGGCAAAGAAAAGCATCTTCTGTCAGTGTCTGATTTGGGTATTCAACAATATTTGGACTTTAAGTGCAATGCAGTAGCTGTTCTAAATCCTGGGAGTTGGGGATCTGTATGTAGTGAAAGCACATACCTGGAGATAGACTTTAAAACTATGTGTGACCACACAGTGACATGAGAGACGACATAAAGCAAACAGACGGAGAGTAAAAGAGAGAGAAGAGGAAGAGGACAGGGAGCAAGACCTATTCTCTATCATGTTTCCACAGAGAATTCCTCGTTTTCTGCCTTTTCTCCTCTTATTTTTCTATCTTGAAGGACTTACTTGACTCTGGGTAGACTGAGGATCTCTTCCCTGGGTCTTTCTGGAGCTGAATGCCTTTTACAGAGAAGATGGATGCAGCTGAAAAACAACCGAGAGAGTTGGTGAGACAGGGTTTGTACATTACACATGCATGTTCAACACGTCAGACTGTATGCACTCACTGTCAGCCAGTGTTTGAACCTGCTCCCCAAAGCTTCTGAAATACGAATATCTGAGAGCATCCTCAGCTGATACCCGTTTCTTAGCCTCAAACTAGAGACACACAGAGACAAAGAGGGGATATAAAGACAGGATTGTTATTTGTTAATCCAATGCATTTGGTGTACATATATTAGAAGTTTTCATCATTATGAGTGAGCAATGTTTGTCACCTGTAGAAGCATTGAGAGCAATTCATGACCATCGCTGTCTATCCTGTGTCACAGAAAGAGGTGAAGTGAGAGAAAGGAAGGGAAAGTGACAGAAAGAGAGAACTGAGTGCCAGGGTGGTCGAATATAAGACATTTAGAGCAATTTAGTGTTCCTGCCATTTCAACAGAGGCTATTCCCGAACCAATTTAAATTTAAGCTAAGGGGAATCAAAGTGCATTAGGAAGGGATTTCTTAATGGTCAGTATGAACAGAAGGAGCGATTACGTGTTTTTACCTGTTTCAACGTTAATATATGACCGCTGTCCACAGACATCAAAAATTGTCAACCTATCCTTTAATCTAAACACACACACGCAGCCATTGCTGAGTACACATACACCCATATTACACACCTGGGTGCGTGGTTGACGAGGGGCTCCGCCTTGTATTGGGGGAAATTGTACGTCTTAAACTCTTCACTGGTGGTGATGCCAGGCCAGGTCTCTTCTGTAGGAGTACCTGATAAAGATAACGAGGGGTTAGTAAACATATGTGTACACACACACACACACACACACACACACACACACACACACACACACGAGAGTGTACAGAGCACCGTACGCTAAACCAACAGACATAGGAACAATTTCTTCCCACAAGCCATCACTCTGATGAACAGCTGACTCTGACTCACAGTGTCCGGAACAATTCCTGTGCAATGACCCAGTAACTCTGCCTCTATTCAGCCACCTGTTTACTGGCTACCACTTATCATTTATTCATCATTCTCTATTTTAGAGCTGTTCTTACTGTTCATATATTGTATATACTGTATACCAAATTCACCTATCTCATGTACATAACACTGCACATAATACTTATTTATTCCAGCATCCTTTGCACTCACCACATTGTGTACATGTATGCTTTTATGTGTATGTGCACCTGTATATCGCATCCACCTCCGACATGTACATAATAATAGCAATAATGATAATAATAATTTACTCCTGCATCCTTTGTACTCTGCTCATTGCACTATTGTCTCAATCTATCTGTTTTGTTCATAGTGTATATATTCCACTCATTCCACTGGTGGTGTCTCACCAAGAATGCGGAATATGAGGTGAAGCTCATCCTCCACAGTCGATCCAGGGAACAGAGGTCTGCCAGTGATCATTTCATAAAAGATGCAGCCCACACCCCTGGACAGAGAGACAGAAAGAGTAGAATAAGCAAACACAAATCAGTGCAATATACAGTGAAGGTAACACCCAAGTAGGATGTGACTTGTGACATTATACACTGTGCTGATAATGTTTTGTTACCCAGGATGTAACATTACAATGTTACTTGACCTAAAAGTGTCCTACAGAGCCATGTAGAGGTGTACTAGTTCAATAGATGGCAACAGTCACTATAGAGGGAATCTCTAAAAAACTATAGAAAACACACGAAAGCATGTTCTTTCACAAGTTCCATAATGTTTATATCATGAATTAAGCACAAAGCACTCAAGGGCTGAACAAAATAGTGTAATGTTACTCCTTCAATGACACTCAAAATAACACCAACTACCCATAACTATGAATTCTGTCTTTAATCACTCTCGTACTGTAGAAGTTCCTATATCACACAACATACAATCAAATATAAGCAAAATAATGGAATCAAAGTCCAGAAAGAAACTGCAGAAATGTTTATTAACAATTAAATGTAGGACCCAATAGCATCCCCACATTTCCTCCCAAAACACAATTATAAGTATGAATAACAGCCTGTTGAGTTTCAAAACACTAACATTGACAACAGCAAAATAAACATTTGGGGGGAAGCTTTGAGAAATGACAGCACCACTTTAGATAAAGAGAAAAAAAGTAAGAAAAAAGCATAAAAGAAAGAGACAGACGACCGGGGATGCGTTACTTTTTTTTCTGAAACTGTGTGTATGTGCTGTAGATGTGCGTTTGCTCACCACATATCGATGGGAGTAGAGTACTCAGTGGAGCCTAGAAGCACATCTGGTGGTCGGTACCATAATGTCACTACTTCATTGGAGTAGGTCTTTGTAGGAACAGACTTAGCTCGTGCCAAACCTTAATTAAAACAGAGTAAATATTGCTTTGCTTATTTATTTATTTGTGTTGTAAGGCATCTCAGAACTCATCATACCAGAGTGAAACTCCATCAGTAAGAACACATTTTGCATTTTGACTCTTATACACTGTGTTATTACACTTACAACAGACAGTACATAGTTTAAAATGTGTTATGTCAGTGGCCTAATGTGATTCTGAATTTGTATTCCTGTTTTATCTGATGAACACAAAATTCATTTTTAATTTACAAGGAGGAATTCCGCAACACAAGAGTATGTACAACGTTATGTCATGTTTTGATTATTACCTAAGGAGGGCAGTGTTGGGTGGTTAGTCACAGTTCAAACTACATTATCCCATTGGGTCTAAGGCCTATGGCCTTTTGTGGCCGCTAGTGGGGCTTTCAGATTCCTGCTTCGGTTTTATAACAATTTTTTTCAGTTTAGTTCAGTATGAGGCACGTGTTAATGCTTTAAACATTTTGCAATTCAAATGATAGTTATTGATATACCAAAGTCTGCCAGTTTGAGCTCTCCTTTTTCATTGATGAGCAGGTTCTGGGGTTTGAGGTCTCTGTGGAGGACCTTCCTTCTGTGGCAGTACGCCAGACCTCGCAACAGCTGGAATAGGAATATCTAGAGGAGGGGAGGTTAGTATGATTTTATTTTACATATTTATTACATTAAACCACAATAAATAACCATGTGATTTTTTGTTAAAGCAAAAAAATAATCTGTGGCACAATTACAACACAGTGATCAAAGAACTCAGAAGCTGCCTCAGAATTCTCCTCGATACTGAACAGATGTATTACCTTGACATTGTGAACACTCATGATGCTCCCACAGTCATCCATGTACTGCTTCAGATCTTTTTCCTAATCGGTGACAAAAAAAAGATGCAACACAGATATTTAGATTAGTAGAAAACGTCCTCTTTAGACACACAAACATGCACAGCATAGACACTCACCAGGTACTCAAACACAAGAGTCAGGCACTTGTCAGTGTGGATAATGTCATGGAGAGTGACAATATTGGCGTGCTTCAAGTCTTTCAGTAGAGACACTAGAAGAGGGAGACACATCAGAGGCTGTCAGTCAAACACACACAACCCATGAGGAGAACAAAAACAGCTCTTCCTTCACTAACAGCTCAGGGACACACCAGGAAATATGTCTTAGCTGTATGTCCCAACAACGCTGTCAAAACCTTACACGCTTCTTGACAGCACTGTCCCGCGTTGACCTGTGAGTTGCATCCTTCCAAATGACATGATTTAAACTTGTCAACAGCAGTTCAGTACCTTCTCGGATAGCTGTGCAGGGCGCTCCCTCCTCATGCTCCAGTCGGATCTCTTTCAGAGCTACTAAGTTGTCTGTTAACTTGCTTCGGCCCTTAAACACTGTAGCATAGGTCCCCTGCGGAGATTTAAAAAAGCATGTGAATGCATTGTGAAATAAAGCAAACTGGGTATTTGAGGAGTGTGTATGTGCTCAGCGTCTCATTCGCTGATTTTCTTTACTGATCTCACCTCCCCTAGTTTGTCCAGCTTGATGTAGGTCTCAAGTTTCCCAAAGCCGATTTCAGACTAGAGAAGACAGGAAAAAGACAGTTGAGGAAGTTATGAGCGCTATCAATGTGCATTATCACTAAGCCAGCTTGCATTTATTTTGGCTACAGCCTGATTGTAGGCCACGCTAGGCCACTCCACCATGTTTGAGCTAATCTCTTGAATCAAATCCTCCAGGCCACGGCTGTTAGTTCAGATTTCAGTCCCATTGCTGTTGACATTTGGCCTACAACTGCAGGGGTCTGAGTCACCAGGCTTTGTTATTCTGTGTCTGTCTGTGTCCAATACTTGCAGTATGCTACATCTCTGCGTCACTGTTATGCTACTGCTGAGACAGTTCAGCATCATGAACACTGCACTCTCATTGAACATCATTCGACACCATGTGCAGTGCATTACATGTACACACACAAACACACCTGCGTCTAATAGTGGGAAAGGAGAGGCTATGCAGGCCTAAACTGAACAAAGTGTAATTTCTCCACAGCGCCTGCCACCTCCCTTTTGTCGCTCTAATGCTACAGAGTGATGTCATTGTCAACTGCACATGTATTCTTTGGCCACAGGAAGTCAGTATAACAAAGACAACCAAATATGGCACACACTCCACATAACTTAATGGGGATTACTTTAACATTTCCATAGATATCCAACAGACGTACTTCTTATTTGCGTGTGCATTGTAGATTATGAATTAATCTTGAATTAATTTAATTAAAGGTTTATCTGCATAATGTATGTGGCCCCTGGATTTCGAGGTCATGAATTATAGATTGCTGTTGCTATGTCAAGCTGTGATAGTGTTTATGCCTTTCCCTGTCACTTTTCCTCACTTATTTGTCTATCTGTGTCAGGGCCATGTTTTATCTGTGTTCATCTCTCTGGACCTACCCATCGCTCTCAATCTTGCTTTTAGCCCGCGCCATCGTGATGCTGATTTGAACGCCAGGCCAATGCTCGGCTTATGCGCGTGTATGTGTGCATATGAGGGGGAAGGGTCTCCAGTGACCAAGTTAGCTGATGAGGCATGTGATCTCTTTAAAGGCATGCCTAAAAGACAACGTCACAATGAGTTCGGACACAAGATGACACACTTACACACTGAAACACGTGTGTGTGTGTGTGTGTGTGTATGCATAAATAGCAATTTGCATAATTAATTAACTGGTACAATCTTATTTATGTTTGTATCTGGTAATTTGCAATGCTTGAGAACAATTTTTAAAAACTGGTTACAGAAAAAGAAATTCAATACAAATTGTGGAGATGTGTGTGTGCATTTCCATATAGTGTGTGCAAGGGCATGTCCTGTATGTAGGCCTATATGTGTGCTTGAAGAGAATATTTGAGATGAGACATGCAGCCTATGCTCAAATGTAAACACACCCTGCACATGCTCAGACACAAACGCACACACTGCTCCCATCTCTGTGTTTGTGACAGGGGCTGTCAGGAGCTGTTGCTGAGCTGTGCTGCTCTTTTGGCAGGAGAGTCAGTCTCATGAGCAAAACACACACACACACACAGACACACAGACACACAGACACACAGACACACAGACACACAGACACACAGACACACAGACACACAGACACACACACACACACACACACACACACACACACACACACACACACACACACACACACACACAGTGACACACATTCTCTTGCGCACATCAACCCCGCTCCAGAAAATAAATCTGTGGCCTCTCACTTTGTTGAAGCGTCTCTTAAACAAAGGAAGGCCCAGCTCCTTACCTACAGCCCACTCTCTGCTTGCAACTGTACTCTCCGTCTAGGCACCATGGCAATCCTTTTTTTATGTGTGTTGGCATGTGTATGTGTGTGTGTGTGTGTGTGTGTGTGTGAGTGCGTGCGCGCTTGCGTATGCTTCTGATGGCAATGGGTTCATTTCATTCCCAACGCTCCAGTGAGCTTACTCAGCAGAACTAGGTCAGCCCAAGTTTTTATGACAAAATTAAAGCAACATAAAACCAAATAAAGTGTGTGTGTGTGTGTGTGTGTGTGTGTGTGTGTGTGTGTGTGTGTGTGTGTGTGTGTGTGAGTGTGAGTGTGAGTGTGTGTGTGTGTGTGTGTGTGTGTGTGTGCTGTCTGAGCCTGTACAGGAACAGACACACAGACACACGGACTGACAGCAGAAGGAAGAAATGTGAGGAGACCGATGTCTGCAGCTGGTCCAAATGTGTTTTGAGAAGAAAGTCCATTAACTCGACCACATTTCATTTTTAAATAGGGTTTCTCCTTGTGCTGCCTAGAAGACGGCTTGACGGTAGGAGAAAGAGGATGGATTGAGAGTATTGAGTGGGAGAGGGAAAATGACAGCCTTGTTCTAAGAAAAAAGAGGTGGTGGGCGATGGGAGGAGAGAAGAGACATTTCATTACAATGACGCAGCCGGTCCTCAAGGCTTTAATCAATGATGCAATAAACATCTTGCACTGTGTCACCTTTTTCCATGTAAACCTGCTGATAGCAGAAGTTTGACCCAAAAGAGTGGACCAACACCTGAACTCAGTTCAAGTTTTCTTTGTTTTTATAAACAACAATAGTGTAATATATAGTATGCTATAAGTGGGACTAAACAATATAAATAATAATAATAAAATAATAAAATGTAATTGCAATTATTTTGAATGATATTGCGATATGATTTGGATATAAGAGCGAATGGTCATTTGTACATCATTATTTTCATTTTAATTCAGTTAAGGGACACATTAAAAATGATTTTGGTGTAAATTTTACCAAACAAAGATGTTTTCTGTGGAATGTGATGTGTAGGTCATATATAGGACATTTCTGCAGCACTACAATATTTAATTAAAAAAGGTCTATTCACACATATTTCACCTTTAACAAATATTGTGCCAAGCAATTTCAAAATTGCAGTAGGCCATATTGCAATTTATATATATTATATATATTGCAACATTGTTTGGCCCCTAGCTACAACAATGGCATAATATAACCAAGAGAAGAATGGCACATAAAATGATTTATTGCCTTATTGGACATTCGGTTTTAAAGTTTCATATTCTGTCACTGCTGGGTTGAAAAGGTTCGAAAAAAGTTAGGGGTTGCATAACGTGGATAAGTGTTGTGGTTTGAGATAAAATGCCATCTCTTTCCTCAGCGCCATGGAACACTGAATCTCTTTGGACTGCTGTGAATAATTGATTATAAATGGGCAACAGCCATGAGAGAAAACTGATCCCAACCAACTTCACTTACATTATTGGAAGTGATTCAAAGATCAAAATACAACGGTTTCAAATGTGAGCATCTGTTAGGGGACACCCGACACATGTTCTATGTTACGGTAACAAATGTCAACCACGCTGACAGCCCAAAAGCCATTATATTAGTGTAATCAGAAACACTGATCATTTTCAAGTTCAGCATACTCGTCCCTTTGTGACACAGCTATATATATATATATATATATATACACACACACACACACACACACACACACACACACACACACAGTATATTCGCATTTGGGGACACCGAGGGATTAAGACATTTATTCATCATTCACTAGCCAATGCAAACATTTTTCAACCTGGATTGGGTTTCAGCCAATCAAACGCATTGTTGGTTCCAGCTACAGGGGCTCAAACTGACCTAAGAGCAGAGTTAAAAACATATTTCTGAAAGGGTGAACCACACTAAACAAAGTAAACAACTGAGCCTCTCTAATTAAAACAATCACAAGCTTCACTGTACTTTCGTAAATACACTCCAAACATCAGCAAGGTGACCAAAATAAAACTTTCCTTTCCTGCTTTTCAACCTGAACAACACACTTGTTTATTTACCCGTTTTCAACATGTCTCCCTGTCTTTCATTCGCTTAAAATTGTCCTGTCATCCCTCTCTGCATCTTTCCCTCTCTCTTCCATTCTCACTTCAAGGTATCCAGGTGTGTAATCCTCGTCAGGAGAGGAGCTGCAGCAAATGAGTCTGACACTGCTGCTGAATTATTGATTGATCTATTACATCAAGTGCATACAACAACCCCTAAAGATGCACAGCAACAGACAGTGGACAGTGGACAGACCCAAGCATGTCAGAAAATGTCTGCAACTCATTTACATTGTAAAGACACAAACATCTCTTAAGTCTATCCCCTCCTTCTCATCCACCCTCACACCATTAAACCTCTCTTCTTCCCTGCAAACATCTCTTCAAAGATTCTTTCCTTTCATCTCTGTGAGACTCCTGCAGAAAAGCTGCGTCATTAAATCGCTTCAAGCTGAGAGCAGGAGGCAGGGCACCGGCCCCGTTCAATAATTACAGCAAAAATGGTCGACAGAGGGCGAATCCTTTATGGTTTCCCATAGTATAGTGAGGCTTTTTGTAGGCCTGGGCGAAAAATCGATTGAATGAATTAATTCGAATTTTTTGTTGCGGGCGATTTAAAAAATAAGTAAATCGAGTTTTTGTGTAATAGCACATTTTTGGCTCCCCGGGGTTTCCGTAGTGTTCGTTTCCCATAGCGACAACATCATACACTAAACAGCAACAGCAAGCGACAAAATGGCTACCGGTGAGAGCGGGAAGTTTGTTCCCAAGAAAGGAATAAAGTCATCTGTTGTTTGGAACTGGTATGGGTTTGCTGCGACAGATGTGGAACAACAGACACCACGCTGCAACATTTGCCTAAAGCCTATCGCAGTGAAAGGCAGCAGCACCACAAACCTATTCCAACACCTGAAACAGAGACATCCAGCCGAATATGAAAAATGCCAGTCTCTCCGCGATGAACAAAGCCGCACTGACCAACAAACCTTATTGCTTTCCTTAAGTAGGGGGGGAAATCGGAAAAAATCGTAAATTGAATTAAAAAAAATAAAATCAGAGATTTTATTTTTAGGCCATATCGCCCAGCCCTAGCTTTTTGGTAATCATATTTAAAGTAAAATGTATCAGCAAAGCAGACTGAATTTGATTTTAAAAAAAGAGCAAGCATGTAAGACTGAGAGAATGAGTGAAACAGAGAGCAGTGTGCTCTTGCTTTATTCAGCCATTTATAAAAGAAAAATAACTGAAAGAGAAACACAAAAGAGTAATGTGGAATAAAGTGTGACCAAAAATAAAAAAAGTTTAGCAGGAGTGCTTCAGCAGCAATACAAAGAGGCATAAAGGGACATGCTGCATATTCATGAGTATCTGCATATTTCTCTACCCATGATCCCCCTCTCTATCCATCCAGCAGCAAACCCCTCCTCTCTCTCCCACCCCCAGATTCATACCCATAATGTTCTTGGCCTGGATACATAACACACAATGATTTCATCATTCTGTAAGCTCTATAGGATAACTTGTGATAGCATGTGTTTAAAACGAGTCTATGTTTGTGTTTTTCCAGTACAAGTGAGGATATAATGGCCACAGTCAGCCATTTTAGTGGCGCACAACGGCCAGTGAAATTTAAAGCATCAAAAGCACACAGAACTAGCTTCAGCTGTTTTTCACACATATGCACGACGCAAACATACACACAGACACAATGAGTACTGACCAATGAAGCGCGTCGTAGCCTGCGGCTCATGGGCTTGTCAAAGGGCGGGCTGTTCATGGCAAACTTCTCCAAGTAGCCCTCTGGTAGCCTGATGTCAGCAGGGAGAGACAAGCGTTTGTTTATGTCCTGAAAGAGAGAGAGAGGGGGAATCCGGAGGGTTAAAAATGTAAATCACACATACTGTATTATACGAGGTGGTGTATTATATACTATATATGTCATTTGGTTATTTGGCATCTTTTAAATGTCCTGTAACATGTGGTGTAATATTATAAAAATAAATTAAATACATGAAACAACTCCTATACTAGTAGTATATATATAACATTTCTGAGTTGAATTTACTCATTTAAAGTAGAGTTAACATGATCAACTGTATTCTATATTTGTAATTCGATTTCACCATCTCAAACAGACTCAGAATTAACCGGTGGATTATGTGACATCATATTACATCTTTGCCATTTGACAGTTTGTTCATTTAATCGATCACCATGATCTGGCCTCAAATCGCTTTCTCAAGCCATGGTTACTTGGCCTACTTCTGTGCTACTTAAAATCTGGTTTTCTCCATCTGTCACTCCTGGCAATGAGTTTGTCAAGTGACTACAGCTCAAATATACCCATTTTTCATATTTATAGGTGCCATCTGCAGTTGTGAATGACTGATGAACGATAATGTGAATGGAATTTATGTGTAGTTCGACTGAATGAAAGGACAGTCCAAGGCCTCTACATGATGGGACTAGTTCCAGACAGAAGCCTGGCAAGGTTCAGGCACATTTTAAAATACGTTGTTGGCAGAGTGGTAAGGTTGGCACAACGTTATTCTAAAGCTTACAAACTCATCTGGTACCAATCGTTTACCTCTAACCAACATATTCCACATCAGGGGGAATTACTTTCACTTCCTGGCAGTTCCTTGAATGTGTCTGATGCTACTTTTACCACAATGCATCGCTCCAATATGCTATCCATGTAGGACACGTTCACTGGCAAGGTGCCAATCACACGTCGTTTCCATGGCAGCGGTGGCGGGCTGGCCAAGTCCCATCAATGGAAGTGTGTGAACTGATATGGGTGTTTACATGTGAGCATTAGTGGGAGGGCAGAAAGTGTATGTATGCCTGAAGATGAAAGGCAGAGGGATTTTACGCCTGTAATGGTTTTATCTAAGCTCATTGGCTAACATAACAACATGTGGTATTACACAGAAGCCGTCATCTTAAGGACAATGGCGCAGTTTTGATATACACCCTGAAACATGCACTCACACACACTGAAAACGACAAGCCATGCTGTGCAGATGGCATACGCACATGTAAAGAAAAGTAAGCCACAAACACATGCACTAATATGACCTACATGACCAACTTTGACCTGAGTAATTTACACATTTGTAAGATCCACTGAATGTCTGAATGATAAAAGAGTGAAATACACGGAAAGCAAGCACTGCAACACTATAGGAGGTAAGAACAACACGCTAAAGCTGCATATTCCTCTAAAAAAAGACACATTTTCTTAAACTTTTCTACTAATATACATCATATTACATGCCATGCATAAAGCCAGCGACTTCTGATGACCAAAACAACATATCTATTCATACTAGGTGGACAAAATGGCACTCATGCCCTCTTTCACTGGTAGTTACTGAATGAAGACCCACACACAAAAACACAAACATGTGTCCCCATACTCACAATGCAGAACAGCTCTAGTAGTTCCCTCATTGTCCTCCTTAAACCTGTCTTTCTATACACTCAACACACATGTGTTTTCCACGATGCATGTCCCTGACCTGCCACATGAATGCATACACACTCAGAGAGAGAGAGAGGCTGGCAGTGTAGTAGGGTGCCATCCACATGCTCAGAGGAGGAGGAGGAAGAAAAAAAGAGGAGGAGGAAAGTACGAGCAGAGGAGAGAGGAATGGACAGATTCCTGAGGGGAGAAAGGCAGATGGGGGGGGGACAGGGGGACGGTGGGGGATGGCTGAGAGGAAACATTGTTTTTCTGTTCTCTCCCACCGTCATTTTGTCCTCCATCTATCCTTCTCCCTCTTCTCTCTTATCATCTCCTGAGCCCTGTTCCTCTAGATCTCCTCTTTCTTTGTCACACCAATAATTATTCCAGCTTCCCTAATTACTCTCTCACCCTAGCATTTTCCCCTCCCTCGCTTCCCCCCTTCTTCTCGTTCTCTCTCTCTGTGGTAAAAAAATTATCTAAATTAGTCCCATCCACTGTTCACAGCAGTCAGAGGCAGCAGCCTGTGTGTCCAGAGGCACTTCCCGTAATACTGCTGTACTCATCACTCTGCAACTCCCTCAAACAGGCACGCGCACTCTGGCTGAGACATGAGCACATCCTCAGGGATGTGGCAAAACAAAGCAACAAACAGCAACTTTACCTGTCCACAGACATCACAGGTGAGCTCACACAGACAGGAGACTAACTGTATGTTAAACCCAGCCCTGTGTCCTAAATCACTATATACTGGAGTCCACCAAAGTACTATATACCCTGATTATTGGACTCAAATAATCCCAAAGAGTTAGAAAATTGATGGATTGGAAAATCGATGGTCACTAACTGAGGACTAGCTACCATCGTGCATTGCACAGATGTGTAAATTTCGACAGCTGCCAGATAAAAAGGAATGGCCTGAGTAGTGTCGAAATTTGATACAGCCCACTGGAGTTTAAAATGATATATCAGCCAATTGTTTTTAAACATAAAAACATTTAATGGTCAAACAATCTTGATACACATCCTTTAGATTTTTTTTTTTTTATTGTGACCACGAACATCCTAAACAGGACATTTTCACATACGTTGTAAAAATTAACTTATTACTCTCTGGTGGTCAAATTATGTATTATTATGAAAACTACCTCAAACCTTCTTTGGCATGTCTGTACTGCAATTTCTTACTTGCAATACTTACCACTCTACATATATAACAGTACTGCTGCAATAAGCTAAAATCGGCTGAGACATCAGTCTTGCTTTATCATCTTTACAGTGAATGTTTTCGGACAGAACCAAGTCTCCGGCTTCTCGTACCTCATTAGAAATGCGCCGATGGTGGTTGTTCCTCATACGGACCCTGACTGGACTCTGGACCTCATCAGAAGACGTCCCAGATGCCTGGTCGCTCTCCCCATCTGAACCCATCTTCACATTTTCATGGACAATACCTACAACACACAGAGACACAAAGAGTTATTGTCAGGAATTGCAATGTACTTTCATTCCACTAGGACTGCCTTTTTGTTTTGTTTTATGGCACTATGCCTCTTTCACTCCCCTCTCCTGCTCTATCACTTTCGCCATGCACCTGTCAGAGGACACAACCTTTCGTCTTTCTTAGATTTCATTCACCCCTCTGAGAAAGCCATAGTAGAGTCCCAGTCCCCAGATGATGGATTGTACCACCAGCCATGCAGGGGTGTCAGCAGAGTGTGGATAAAATGCCATTGGTAAGATGAGGAGGTCAGAGATCGATATCATCACCGCCCCACCCCCATAATCCATCTGATTAATGAATCACAGTCCAGAAGACGAGACTGCCTCCTTAAATGGTGGAGTATGTGGGGGGAAGGGTGGAGGGGTCTCTCTTTGGGTTTGTGTGTGTTTACATATCTGTCTTGAATTTGGTAAAAGAAACTGGTTCACCAGAGGAACTGACAGACATAAAAGATCACTCCTAACAACGTTAAAATTTTACCTTACCATCATCTCTGTTCACATTTTAAACAGCCACCATAGGCAGTTGGTAGGAAGAAGAAGCAGAAAGAAAAATAAGTCCCTTGAGTGATTGTGACATGTCAACCATGAGATAGGATGTCTGAGAGCTGGATAGGTACAGCTATTTGTTAAAGTACACCGTCTGTCAGCTGTGGAGTAGGGCAACACCACCTGAGGCTTTTTCTAGGTCATTTGTGTGTGTGTCTCTTACATGTAGTCAAGGTTAGGATTTGAGAAAGGGAAGCTGGTCTAAGGACTCTGCCTCCTGGCTAAAAAATGAAAACAATGGAATATGGACATATAAATAAAAAGAAATTATTACAACAAACCATTTTTCGTTTCGTTCTTATTTTCAGCGTTTTATATGACTTCATTGTTATTTCAAAATGCTCCTTTTCTTTGTTCTTTCATAAGTCATAAAAAATATTTTTTTTATTTCATGCCACATTTTATTTCATAATATCATTTTATTTATCTCATAACGTAACTTTTCATGACAGCGGTGTCACAGCCCTCTCATCTTTCAGCTAGCCTGCCTCTTAAGCTAGCAAGCTCAATTTAATCAGTTAGCGCCTGTTAGCTAGAGCAGCAACAATTTCAAAGTAATCCTAAATCAACTGTCTAGGTGCTACTGTAAAAAAAAAAAAGGAAAAAAAGACAGTACAGTGACGTAAAAACGAACATCATCTTCTCTAGCTTAAAAGGGCTGTACGTGCTACCTACCTAGCTAGCTTAAAAAGCTAGGAGGGGTTGTTAGCTTTGATTATTTCTTAGCATCAAAGTGAAGTGCATATTTGAATAATGCCTTCAATTATTTCACAAATTGTTCATTTATATATTTTACACAATTTTATTAATATTAATTTATTAATAGGTTAATTTATTTGATATCTTTTTTATTTGTTTGTTTTGAACAAACAAATTTTGGGGCTCCATACGCATGGGCCTGAACATATTTGTCACAAATGTATGTAGTATGTCACCCTCTGACTCGGTACTTTCACAAAAATGTGAAACCTATGAAACGAAGCTTCCCTACATAACTAAAAACCTTCCATAAACATTCCAAAAATCAATAAAAACTATTTATACACTCTTAACCGGATTTCAAATGTATTTCTTTCAGAAGCCAACTTTACAAATGAATTGCATCAGCTGTGTTCTTACTGACACAGTCAGCTACCTGTGTCGATCACAGCTGCTAATTTCAGCCTACATCTGTCCGTTGGTCTAACTATCTGTTGACAAAAGAAGCACATGGTCATTAGTGAAACCCAACCTAAACACAATCCATCTGTGTAAATGCTTAGTAAACCTCTTCGTAGTCATTTCAATCTCCAAGTCTGATGCACTGCCTGTGGCCTCAAAGCCAGACACAAGAAAACAGAGTATGCATAGAGAATAGCTTGCTAAGAAAACTGAGCAGTCAGTAGTCATATCAGGAATCAACCTTCACAACCCTGATGGGGAAACATTAAACTCAAGGTAAGTGACACCAGAGTGAGGGGAAATTGATCCAGGATATCTACATACTGACAGACGCACACACATGTCCGCACACTCACGAGTAAGAATCCAGTACTGCTATTATGTCACAGGTCTTTCTCACTTTCGTAGAGGTCCTGATCTTGTCTGTTTGTGTAAACAGTCAAGCAGATGCGGGTGGCTCAAGATGACTGACCTGGAAGGGAAATTCCATTACCTACACCCTGAAACAATGTGACACGATACGGTCCTGTTAAAAACATGCAGTATGTGCATTTGTCTCTCATACACAAGATTCCCCAACACACTTTCTCTCCTCAAAAAGAACACGCAAGTCCACCCACGCGTACTTCCTTATTACACAGGGCATTTATTTCCAGTCTCCTGCAGGTTCTTTCTGCTCTATTTCCATAGCAGACTAAGAACAGACAACAAATGTCATGAGCTACCACTGCCTGCCCGTGTGGAGCCAGGCTGTCCTACTTAGGATTGCTGACTCCCTGCTAGCACGTTTGGCAGGATGAGTGGTTGCTTTAGGACTACCCTTACCTCGCCCAACTCTGCATGTACTCCACTTAGCTGGAAATCCATCTCCGGTACATATTGGCAGTGCCTCAGAAAATGATTGGAAAGCCAGTGGAAAGGATGTTAAAAGAGGTAAAGTAAATTTAAGATTTGCTTCAAGAGCCCTTCAAAGAGTAATGGAAATCTTGGGAATTTTTTGTTATAAGCACTCCCTCAGCAGGGCCAGACATCAAGTTCAGTGAGTTTCTCAAGGTTGCGCTGGTAAAATTAATAGTCACTGTCCACCTCCAATGCATTACCCACGATTATTCCTGGGGTTGAACTGAATAATTTTATATCTTCTTTTTGCTCTTAGGCCAGATGTTGTCAAAAAGGTTCTTAAGCAAAGGACAGCAGGATTGGTTGAATTTGACATAAGCAGGGGGAACAGAGATGCTGCAGTCATTGTGCTGACAAGCAAATGAATAAAATATTCAAAAGAACTTCAAGGGCTTACTTCACTTCTCTAAGGAGTCCATAGGATCCCTGAAGATACCCACTCACACTGCCCTGGGCCAACCCACTGCTCTCTAATCTTCACATATAGGAAATAATTTTCTGAAACTGATACATTTAAAATGTAGGAAGCTACTTGACATAAATCCATCTTATTGTATCTAATAAAACCTTAGGACACACGTTTGATCTTTATTTTTAATGTCCAACAGAGTGAAATCAGTACATATAAACATGTTACATGTGTTATTGCAATGGTAATACAGCTATTCTAGGCGTTGATATGGAATAAAGATGTAGAGTTACTTATAGTATCATCTACTGAACAACATTTTAGTTACAAAAAACTGCTAATAACTGTTATTAAAACTGCTGTCATCTGTCATCAGTATAGTTTTGGAACTCAAACCGGATCGGATTAAAGGCAGGATCAGGATGTAGATGAACTTGATAATGGAGGTCAGAGTGCTGAGACTTACCAATACGGTTTCCTGGAGGACGGCATGAGTCCAGCACTCGAAGCATACGGAAAGGTGACAGCCTCAGTGGGGTGTCTCGCTCCCCCATTCTCATCCCCTCTCCTATTCTATTCTCACCAGTCCTTGAGTCTCCCACGCTGGGAGGCCGAGCAGAGCACCCTTGGGGGTTGCCTGACATGTCCATTGTTTCAGAGGATTCAAAGCACTACAGTAAAACGTGCGGTTAAAAATTTAAAAATACATTTCAAAATGAGACAGAAAAAAAATAATCGGGCCCTGTCGAGGAGTTGAAACCACTTCAGTCCAGTCTTGGTGTGTGTCCAGTCAACAAGTCTGGGTGGGACCCAGGATTCAAGACAGCTGATTGAGGGTCAAAGCTTTCTGTGAGAAAAATCCAATCTTCAAGGCTGTATCTCAAGAAGAACCCCTTGCAGTAAAGAACAGGTCTTACATGGTAAGGACAGTGCAGACTGCACAGGCACACTAATCACAATGCAACAACTCCCTCGGCTACTACTCCACTTTAACGCGCTCTCTCTCTCTTTTCCCATAGACACTCCCTCTCTCCACCTCTCCTTTTTCTCTCTGCAGTCACACTGTGCTTGCTGACTAAGGAAGGTCAAACGCCGTGCAGGTAGGCAAAACGCTGCAGAGACAGTCCAACACACACACAATCTGGAAACTGTTACACCCTGTCATCTCGGAATAACAAGTGTGATGTCTCAATCTACATGAAGCGCACACACACACTCACACACACACACACACAGGTGCAGAGACCCAAACTTACAGATCCTCCTAGTTAAAAAAACACTTTCGTCTGTCTGGTCTTCAACTATCTGACCTCTTTGGCTCCCAGCCCTTTCCTTTTCTCTTGTTACTTTTTCATTCCCAGTCCCTGATGTTTTTCTCCTTCTCTCAGCTCTCCTCCCTTTGTCCTTCCTGGTCTTCCACTGTTATTAAGCACACCACTCTATCCAGGCTGTTGAGCTGCTCTCCTTCGTTCCACTCCCTCTCTCGATCGCTCCCTACTTGCCTCTAGCGCCCCTATAAGGGCTTTCAGCATTGTTAGTCCTCTTGCTCCCTCCCTTCACCTTGCTATTACTCTCCTCCCTCTCATGTGATACCAATCTGCCTCTATCTCTCCCTCCCTCCCTCGCTCTGCCTATCTCTGTCTGGGTACAGAGATGGTGTTGAACATACAGTACAATCTCTTTCTATTTAGGAGCCAATGACAACATTTTCCGCCTGATCAGGCTCATTCTTGCACTCAGTCTCCATCGCTCCATCTCGTTCGCCTTCCCTCTCTCTTGCTCCTTCCCTCCTCTCCACCCTCTGCCTCCTCGTCCTTATCACTCCCTAGCGTAGAAATTGAAACCCTGAGGCTTTTGAGTGACGCCTCTGGCATCCTGGCATCCCATCTTCCCCCCCTTCTACATTCTCTCCACCTTCCTCTTTCTTTCCCC